ATTCATGATAGAAGAGATCATTTTGAGATCATATTCCACTATTATACAGTCTCATTAGCACTTGCCTAGACAACCAGAACACCCAGAATTTGGAGGTAATCTTAAAGTGTATCACAGGTAGATAAGTAGAAGGTGAAATGTCAACACCATTCTTATTATATTAGCTGCCACTGCCAAATACCTCACTAAAGGAATTTTACACGCACTTTGTAAGTTCCTGTATTTTCTTATTTAAACCATACAAAGTCACAGGAGTGTCCCAGCCTTCAGATGTGAAGACTGAGGCTAAGTGAAGGAAACCTGCTCAGGCCACACTTACTTGAAGGACAGAGCCAGGAACTGTCCCAAGTATCTTTGGTCCCAAAAAAGGTGCCATCAAGATGCATCAGCCTGGACTGTTTCTAACAAGCCCTTGGCCAATAACATGAAGACTCAGTATGTGGTTAAGGCCATCACTGACTGCCACAAAGAGGGAACACAGCACAGGTAACTGGGAATTCTGGAAAGAAGATGAGCTTTCTGTTTTTGATGTCTTATACAGCAAAAAGTAATATAATAAAGGTTCAGTGACCTAAGGGTTAAAACTAACACTATTTATAACTCACATAAGTATTAAAGGAATCAAGTTCATAGAATTTCACTGAATTATTAAGTAGATGAGTATTTTTCTTAAGACCTTCCGAATATGTCTACTAACTACTCTTTTATACAGAATAGTTAAAACTTAATAAACACTTGAGTTTTATTTGAGACAAAAATTATTCAATTATGTCCATTACAGAAAAGAGACAGAGAAGCAGGCTACACTTTATTAAGAATAATATGCTTTAAAAAATAAAATAAATAATAAAATTTAATTTAAAAAAGAATAATATGCTTTAGCCATATGTGTTTCCATAGGGGAGAAGATTAAGAATGTCTTCTATAAGTTAGACTGGGACCGAATAGAAGAATAATAGCTAATCTAAAAAATAATACAATGCAATTTCTCGAAAACCTTCAACAATTTCTCTATTATTTACGGAATGAAGTCTCACAGGCCATTCATAAAGTGCTTTCTAAGAGCCATTTCCAATACACTCTGTTTCAAATCATTATTTCTCAGCAATTCACACACATTTGTATGGAACATCTTCCTTTTGCATGTCCTCTTCCCGGAAAGAAGATCTTTTCAGACATCACTAGTATTAAGTCATATATTTCCTTTAAAGAACAGATCAAGTTCCATTGCTTCACAGCTCCACTTCCTCTAAATCCTACCACACACATGTATCAAGTTCTTTGGACACATAGTATAGATCTCTTTATGTAATACACATTTCTCAATTAGACTTTAAGTCCCTTAAAACTACAAAATCTTACTATTTCATAAGCCCAGCCCCGATTTCAGAATATACATTTTATCTTGCTTTCTAAATATTTAATATTATAGCATAATCATATTCCTAAGTAATTGGAAAGGCTCGGGAAAACTTATTAACATTAAGCCAGGATACATCCTTATTGTTTTATTTCTAATGTACATCAGATATTTATTTTTATATGTATTTTATTTCAATAGCAATGCAGAGTTAGTAGGGATAGTCACAGTAAGCTTCGCTGAGCAATATTGTTGGGCTAGGTCCTAGAAATATAAAAAATTTTAACATGAAACATGGTTTTTCTGCCAAAGGAAATGACAATTACTTGGCAGATCCATCCTGAAAGTAGTAGCACTTGTGATTTAAATAAGGAGGTTATGTTTGACATTTAAATCAAGAGGAAATGAAATTATATGTGTGAAGTGAAAATTGAGTTCAAGGTAGTGAAACTGTGAATAAAGAATTCTGGGTGGGGATCAGCTAATTTTATATTTTTTAATAAAATACAGGATGATAACTAGAGAAAAACAGAGCACCAAGGGGTATCAACACAGACTCCCCTGTGCAGCCATTTGTCTCCGTTTTTAGTGCCCAAGGCAGTGGCTGGGGGAAGGGCAGCCACAAGCCAGTTGTCACTAAAGAACATTCAACCCACTCTAGAAAATGGCCTTTTAAAACTGATCCAGCAGAATCTTTATTTAAAAAACTTCATTATACCGCAGATCAAAATAATACCAAATACACAAGCAGCTTTAAAAATTTCTCTAACATTGACTTCACATTTTTTCCAATTTCCCTGAATTATGTTTGATATTTGAGATGTTTCGTATCGAGTTTCTTCTCTTTAGGATGTATAATTCCCATTCTGTACTGTTCCTTAAAACTTTGTGACTTTGAAATTGAAATCAGAAAGCAATAACTGACATGTATATGTCACTTTTAGAAAAATAAGTATTCATTAAGTGTTATTCAATTGATTACATCTCCAAAACTGAGAGGGGCCCAAGTATGACTGGAATTTTGCACAAAGAAACTTATTCTCAAAAATTTCAACTTACATCCCACCAATATGTGTTCTCATATTCCCACTGGATAATATATGCAATTTCTTCACGAGTTCCACTTAATTTCCTCCTCTATGCTTTGCTGCATCGCTTAATTTGCCCTCACAGTCACCTTGGAGCTGATGTAGGTCCCTTCATAAGGTGTCATCTCAATTAAAATCATCTTCTACAACAAGCCAGCTTGTTACCTAATTCAGACAACCCCTCCTCTATCAACTCACAACATCGGCATTTATCACATAATTATAATAGTGTGAGTTCCTGGCTATCACTCCATCTTGACTGCAAATCCCTGGAGATAGACCATGTCCCATTCATCCTTGTTTCCCAACACCTAACACAGTAAATGCTCGGGAAGGTTTCTGACAGACTGGGAAAGAATTTACTTGTAAGCATTTCTGAGGACAAGGGAGATGGGTGTCTCTGGCTCCTGAAGATTGACGTCTAGAATTCTGGAGGAGCCCCCCTGTTGTTCTCTGCATCTTCGGCCTCACTCCAGAGAACCAGGAATGTCAAGACAATGAGGAAGCTCAAAGACACATTACAGGTGTTAAGCGGAAAGAATTCTGCTCTGTTTCCCAGGATGAAAATCGCTGATGCCTAGAAAGGGTTTATAAAGAATCTCATTGTCTTAATCTCTCTGTCCCTTGTACAAGAATGCTGTACAGGATTTTCTTCATTACATTGCCAAATCAACAGGGATTAAAAATGACACCTTCTAGTTCTGCAAAGGGATCCTTGTCTAGTTGAATGAGTTCTGTATATCAAAATGAAATGCCATGGTAACCAGTATAAATACCTTCCACTGAATTAATCTGCAGTAGATTTATTTTTCTATCTTACAGTTTTTTTGCTTTAGGCTTTTTACCTATTTTATCCCAACATCCTTTCACAATGTAGAAAATGTGTAATAAATGGCAGAAAATAATATGTTTGAAATACTGGTTCAAAGCTGGTCCATACACAATTAAGTCTCAGTTGTAGTGGGTTTTATTCCACAAGCAGTTAAAGGCACACTAGTATTGAAAAGCTATCATCCATGCATTTTTTACCCTCTTAGCTTATTTTTCTACTCATGAAATAAATGGAAAAGGAATTTAACTTCTGAGATCATTTAAAATTATAATTTTTAAAGGAGATAAAAGCAAGGGCCATTTTGAAAACAACTGAGCTCATTTAAATAAAAGTTCTTTGACAAAAGTTCAGTGTTTCTCTAGAGTTTTAAAAAAAGAAGAAAAGAAGGGAAAAAAGTAAAAGTGGTCATAAGCCTGTGAATTTAACACCCTGTTCTCAATTCCAGGAGAATTTTTCATCTTGTTAGATAATGCTCACTTTCAAGCCTCCTACTCCAGCAGAGTTCTAGGTAAATCAATGTATCAGCTTCCAGACCTTCCATAAGGCATGTGCTTTACCAGAAACATGAAGTCTGGACACAGCACTGTCAGGAACATATACTAGGAAGGTAGTGCAATTGTTCAAACACTTATTTTAAAAAATTAAACAGATAATTCAGTCACACGCCTGTAATTGACATTCCATTCTCTTACAACATACTAGATGCTTATAATTCCTTTGCAAGAGTTGAAAGAATGTCCTATGTTCTCACTCACTGGCCTAAGGCGACCTTCCAGCTCCCTGTTTTCTTCTCCCAGCACAAAGGAAGTTTAAAAATAAATAGATAAAGGGATAACAATAAAAGAAAGAAGTTCAAACTAAAAACACAAATAGATCATAAATATGTTTTAGTGGGTAATAAGTAGATGGGTAAATAAGAGAGGATGAGATTAAACCTCAAAGGTTAATGCCTCTCCCCATGCCCCACCATGCCTCAGGAGGAGGCAGATGATGAAAGACTCATCAAACATTTGATTAGTTGATGTGATTAGCTGCAAAATCAGTTCTTAGTATTTGAATATATATAAAGCAAACAATAATTCTTTCATTGAAAACAAGCACTTGGGTAAAAGAAACTCATGTAACATTTGACATATTTAAGGATACATCTTCTATGAAGTAATGAAGTCATACTAACAAACAGTGCAAAACTGTGCCATTTGGGTGGGCAGATTGAAGAGGAGACACAGATCTCGTGGGAGGAAATAAATCTATAGCTTCTCTAACTTAAAAGTTTTAGATCACAATTATAAAAATCATACAAAATTAAAGAACTAAACAAACATATAAACAAATTTTCAATGAATCATTTTCTATGTTATCCAGATAACTTATACTGGATACATGTTTTCCAGAAAAATGCTTGAAGAACTTCCTTACCTTTGCACATTCAGCTGGAGTTCTGGCAATAAAGGCTATCATCAGTTTGCAGTGTGGTAAAATGTTTGCATGGATGTGATGAACAATAAAATTATTAGAATAATTTAAATGCCCGATTTCTTCATCAGCCTAAGTGCTTTCTGTGATTATGATGCATATGTGTGAAGGAAGGCAAAGTGGCCCCCAAATGAAAAGGCTTCTATTAAGCATATGCTAAGTCAACACTACTCTACATCTGAGCATAAATGAAGATAAAACACTGTACATTATGATTCAATTAAAAACCTGCAAGATACGTTACCTGCCGCCTCGAGCACTGAAAGGCACTACATGGATTCCCAGAGGCCCTCCATCGTTGGGGACTTGTACGAGCTTTACCATAGCACTGTGAGACAATGATGAATGAGGGAGCATGAACATGTACTGTCACAAACCAAAACCAAACCAAACCAAACACAAAACTGCAACGGCACAGACATACAGTAAACAACAAAAGAGGACAAAACAAAAATTCCAAGGGGCACACACGCATATACATTCACATTCTGGAATAGAAGCATGGTGATGAAAGCACATTCAACACTACATACCTGCACGCTAGTCTGATGGCATGGGAGGGGAGCAATCATCAGAAATAACTACATTAAAAATCACCCAGCACATTGCTCTTGGACCACACTCTTCTGTATAGTCCAAGTTCACATTTTGTAATCAGATCTCTAGACTTGCACTGAAAATTTCCCATCCTAATATCTAATCAAGGATTATGAAGACTAATGGGCCAAAGATGTTTCCACTGCACAGCACTTTATAATTTACAAAGCGCTCCTGCACAGGTCACCTCATTGATCCTTCCAATAGTCCAGTAAGGGCACAGCTCTGCCCCTGGAGGTAGCCATCCAGATAGGATGCCAACACCCTTGCTCCTAACATCCTGCCTGCTGTAAGCTCACTGTATATACAGCTGACACAACCCCAGTGGACACCCATGAAAAATCAAACAATTACCTTAAGAGTGTTTGTAATTGAACTCTCAAGTCTTTACACTGTTTATATGAAGTTACATGACTTCATTTGTAGACTTCTACTACATAACTACAGTACTTTAATATTAATATCGTAAGCCCAAATTTATTGCAAATTGGTGTAATCTAGAGAATGTAAATTTACTAAACCATTTCAATGAGATTTCACTTTGTACGTATTTCTGTGGGTATGAACATGTCACAGAAATCTAAACAGTACTGATCCAATGAGCAATATTTGGAAATACTATTTCAACTAGATATTAGGTATCTAGTTTAAGGAAACCTGGACAAACATAAGTAACTACCAATGGACTTGATCAGGATCCCAGTACAGTTCTTATGCACTATAAAATGCCAATACTTCAACTGTATGTCTTAAATAAAAACCTGAGGTAATCCTATATACTGTAAGTACCATGGTTATGTCATACAAAGACTCAAGAAAATTAAAGATAGGAATATCAAACAAATCAAAATTGAAAATATGTATATAGATTTAATCATATATACTACTTGGGACATTAGTTAATATCCTAATTAGCTAAATTAAAATTGTCATGTTGCAAAATATTTACTAAAGTAATACTATTTACATGGATATTTAAGTTTTTAATGTTTTCATAGAATGTCCTAAAATCCTATTTCAGATATCATTAATAGCATGTGAACACCTATTTAATGTCTGTTTGTCAACTAAGGATAGTATGGTATTTTTGATACATTTATTTATTTATTTCATAGTCTTTCTCAAAAGAACTACGACAGTACAAGTATTTCTTAACTGTAATTACTTAGAGAGCACTGGGTGCTGAATATCCAAACATAATCTGATTCAGGACCCTGTTTAATTTCACTGAGAAAATTCTTATAGCCCTTTCTTCGAAAACCAAGAAAAGACAAAATTAAGAGTCTAATAATTTTTTAAAAAAGAGTCTAATCATTAATATCTCCACCCCAACTTTTACCCAAAGTCAAAGAAAAAATTTAGAATGACTGCTCTAAGGTAACTCTGACAAAGTCTTAAAAACATTTTCCATTCAAACATGACGTTATTTAAGATAATTGCAAAGTTGTGACAATATATGAAAGTTTTTCTTTGACCTTTTATACTTAAAATCATGTTCAAGGTTCCTAACCTCATATAAGGTCCCCGTCAAATATCTTGAGAGATTCTATTTCTTCAAATCAATAAAAACATATACTAAAATGACTGATGCTTACCTGATCCAACTAGTTTTTCAAGTAAAGTATGTCTATCTTTTTTAATTTGGCAAAGTTGAAGAACAAACAAAATACTGACATACAAAAGCAACCTGAGAACAGTGACTGTGCCATGAACATGACAAACATTTTCAATCACATACTACTTTAGACTACCATTTAATAGTATTTGCCAAGGCATGAAACTCAGAGCAGGTACATGTGAACTTCCATGCTACAGTCCTAACATTAGATCATTAACTCAGTAGGTGAAAGATGCTCTTTGGAAAACAAACCAGTGCAAAGCATGTTTTAAATAAGCACAGACATTCCGCATGCCATACGGTTTCAGAATACTTGCTGCCATCAGTGAAGCTACATGGATGTTACAAACTTTGCTGAAACTGTCAGTAACTTACTCCAGAGAGAAGTTGGGGATGTTCTCCACACTGGTGTCGGCATGGCCCACGGGTTCCACACGGCTGCTGTCTTCCTCTGCAACATCCTCATCCTAAACAAAGAGAAGCACACCCTGAGTCAGGTTTATTCTTAGAAAGTAAATGAAAAGAAACTGGATAAAACTGGAGTCTAACAGGCATTATGATCACATTAACTATGTCTCTCGTCTAGTGAGGATGACCTTTAATGATAACATGGGTTTGAACATATGAAAAGTTGCATTTTAAAGCAGTAAGTCCCCCGAGTTAGTATATCCCAGGGGGTGAACAAGATGCCTCTGCAGTAAGGAAAGGAAACATTAAGACTTATACCTATGTTAACTCCTTATCACTTTTACTTCACCTTTTGGTATATTTAATACGTAAAAATCAAACCCAAGATGGCGGAGCAGAAGGACATGCACTCATCTTCTCCTGCGAGAATACCAAAATTGTAACTAGCTACTGAACAACCATTGACAGGAAAATGTTGGAACCCACCAAAAAAAGATACCCCACAATCAAGGGCAAAGGAGAAGCTGCAACAAGATGGTAAGAGGGACCCAATCACATGTAAAATCAAACCTCATACCTGCCAGAGACAGTTGGAGGGCACAAACAAAACCTTGTGTGCACCAAGACCAAAGGAAAGGAGCAGAGATCCCCACAAGAGCCTAAGGCAGACCTGCCTTTGAGTGTCTGAGGGTCTCCTGCAAAGACATGAGTCAGCAGTGGCCTGCCGCAGAGACAGAGATTATAGCAACAGCAGTCCTGGGAGTCGCAGCGTGTGGCAATAAGTCCTCCTGAAGGAGGTGACCATTAGCTACACTCACTGCTAGGAAAGTTCTGGACCTCACAACTGACTTCTCTCACACCCATACATGACTACTGGAAAAACCATACCTTTGACTATATGGACCTTTGTCGGCGAAGTGACGCCTCTGCTTTTTAATATACTGTCTAGGTTTGTCATAGCTTTTTTATCCAAGGAGCAAGCGTCTTTTAATTTTGTGGCTATAGTCACTGTCCCCAGTGATTTTGGAGCCCAAGAAAATAAAGTCTGTCACTGTTTCCATTTTTTCCCCATCTATTTCTCACGAAGTGATGGGACTGGATCCCATGATCTTGGTTTTTTGAATGTTGAGTTTTAAGCCAGCTTTTCCACTCTCCTCTTTCACCTTCATCAAGAGGCTCTTTAGTTCCCCTTCACTTTCTGCCATTCAAGTGGTATCATCTGCAAATCTGAGGTTGTTGATATATATTGGGTGTCCCTGATGGCTCAGGAGGTAAGGAATCTGCTTGCAATGCAGGAGACACAGGTTTGATCTCTGGGTCAGGAAGATCCTCTGGAGGAGGAAATGGCAATCCATTCCAGTGTTCTTGCCTGAAAAATTCCATGGACAGAGAAGCCTAGCAGGCTACAGCCCAAAGGGTTGCAAAGAGTTGGACATGACTGAGTGACTAAGCATACATGCATGCATGCCTACTACTGCTCTGAATATATTACTACAATGTTATAATATTCAAATAAAGGTACATTACATTGGGGACAGATATTTTACATTTTAGTAATCCAAACAGTTGAGACCATTATAAATCTTAAAGATTAGCAAAATCTTCAGTCTTACTGTCAGTTCCCTAGTTCCTATTAACACAGGTCATCAAAATGAACATGAAGTTAGTCCAATCCTAGACTTAAACACTTCATCCTGTGAAATGTCACATAAGGTTATCCTAAGCCCACTGACTGATCATTTAGAGGTAAAGGCAGTAAGATCTTAGCCATGAAGAACCACTTCTGTTTACTTCTGTTACAAAGGATCAGGTGCAGGGAAAGGGACAAAGAATAAGCAAACCATCTCCCAGCATTGCACTCTTTCTTTCAGAAAGGCAATAGTTTGTCCAAAAAATATATATTCCAACATGTTGTAGAAATTGAGTAAATATGCTGGTGCTTCAAAAGGTGCATGTGGAATAAATGTGATGGTTCATAAATGTAAATGAAATATCACCCAAGAATATACCTCTCTTTGTCATCTTGTCCACTGTCTTTTCACTAAGCAGTTCACTAACAGTGATGTTGACTTTGCAGGATCATCTGAATAAGGATAAACATGTCTGATGACATCAACGGTTTTATTATCCAAATTAGAATACTTAGAAAAGACTCAGAATCTCCAAACACAGTGACTAAGAGGCTCACGTGGGCTTTACTTTGGCTCCACAGTGTCTTATACCCAGCAGGTAGTATGCAAGTATTTGCTAATGAAAACAAAATCATCCTCAGGAATCTCTGGGGTAACATGCTTCCAAATACAACTCAATAAAATTTATTTAATTTACATCTTGGAGGTTTATGTGTACAATTTACATACCCATAATTTGTTAGGTTTATCTTTTTCTACTATATAAACCTGATAAGTGAGTTTATATATGAACTTATTAAACCACCTAATGAGAGTCTACCATTACAGAAAAGTTGTATATTTTTAACTCATAGTATAAATGTATAAGCCATTAACAGAGACATCAATCAACAAAATGATAAGCAATGGCTCTAAGTTCAAGATAGAGCATCAAATGATATTTCAAGTCACTAAGGCAATATGAAGGCAAGGTAGTTGGTATTGCCCAATTGACATTTCCTCTGAGAATCCAGCAAAATAAGAAGCTGGATGTGCCAAGTTCTTCTATGAGTTTAGATAAACTCCATGTATCCTCAATGGTGGAGCACTGCATGAGGCCAAACTACTTGAAGACTGATGATCCTGTGCTTTGAAGGGCTCTGCCTATGTCCTTCTTAGTCATTTATCTCTTTTAAGCACCAGTACATGATACATTCCCAAGGTGAACCAACATCTGAACCTGCCTAAGAGCCACACTTACAATGTAAACAATAAATTCCCAAAATTAAGCTTTTCCATTGGGAGTTGGGATAGACAGGAGAGAAACACAGTAGTATATAAATCAGATGGAAAACATACAAATAGTTTATGGGTTAAAGACATTTAGTTTCAGGATTCATTAATAATTTAAGCACTGCTGAAACACCACCACAATAAACAACTGGCAGAAACACCTATGCAGCACTGGGAAATAGCCACATAAATGAAATGCCCCAAACTATAGTGATGAAACAGCAACTGATAATTGACACATTCACTGTTCCCACAGTGGCCATTATCAGGGCCCCAAGAGCATGGAGAATGTTATTTCATGTTGCTGCATATGGTGTTTAGTTATTTTGCAAAACTCACTGCCCTGAGGCTGGGCTGCAATTGCTGTGGGAACTGCAGTCTCAGAATGTGTACACAGCAACTTTGTGCTGCTTCACTCTGTTGTTTTAAACTCTTCAGAGCTGCAACTGAACACAGTCACTTTTAGCAGGAGTTATACACTGAATTCCACTGTAACCATAGTAAATGAAGCTCAGTTATTAAATGTGCCAAATCAAGATGGAAGACCTAGAGTAGTAATTTAAACTATGCAGTGTGAAGAAAATTTTTCAGGTGAGTCCATGTACTTTTTGTCCTATCCCGTCTATTTTACAGTAGAGAATAGTGGTTGAGAGTTCAGTTTTGAAAATTAAACAGACCTGGATGTGAACAAAGAGTGTGCCATCTGCCAATTTTACATCCTTAAACAAGTTATATATCCCTTCTGTATTTCTATCCCTTCTTCTGTAAACTAGGAACAATAAAACCATCTAATTCTTCTTAAGATTACTGAGAGGAAAAAGTAAGATAAACCCATGTCACAAATTATAACATAGTACCTGACACATGGTAATTGACAATAAATGTTAGCTGTTATTGAAAAGAGAAACGATAAATACATGACATATAAAACATAACTCAGTAATTGTTTTAGGGTAATGTTATACAACTATAAGATATTTCAAGAGTATATATTCACCCTTTCATACTTTATGTCTTGCAGTAAAATTTAATACCAAACATATTACCCACTCAATTAAATACAGAATGTATCATATGCATTTTAGAAAGTTACATAAAACCCATAATTTCTTGCACTTTGCTTTATACAAAGTACTTTCATCATAAAAGGGTTTCAGAATGAGAAAACATATCAAAAATGATAAACAACTAAATGCTGCCTTGCTGTTGTTGTCCATTCACTAAGTCATGTTCAGCTCTTTGTGACCCCACGGACCACCAGCACACCAGGCTCCTCTGTCCTCTACTATCTCCTGCAGGTTGCTCAAGTTTTGTCCATTGAGTCTGTGATGCTCTCTAACCATCTCATCCTCTGCTGCCCCCTTCTCCTGTTGCCTTCAATCTTTCCCAGCACTGGGGTCTTTTCTAATGACTTGGCTTTTCACATCAGGTGGCCAAAATATTAGAGCTTCAGCTTCAACAACACTCCTTCCAATGAATATTCTACAATCCAATAAATGGCAGGGAAAAGAAAACATCATGGGTTGCTAATAGAGGAAATTTTCAGAGACAAAACAGATGTGAAGACCTGTGACGGGGCTATGATTTCATCCTGCTTGAAAGCTCTAAGGTAGCCTGCCACATAGCTTCATGGGTGTCAAAGAGGACACCTTGGTTCAGAGACAAAGGACAGTTCATTACAGCAATAGCATTAGCCAGAGTATCACCCATTTGGGTACTGATTCCTAAGCTAAAATTCTCAAAGGTGATAAGAAGAGGGCCAGGGGACATTGGTCTCCGCAGGAGAAACTGGGCCCAGGGAAGTGGAACCCTTTACACAAACAGTTCACATGCCTGCTCACTGCTCTGGAGGGAGACCCTGTGTCTGTCTTGCAAGGCTGTTTGCTGTACACACATCGTTGAAAGAAGAGTGCGGCACAAAGGCCTTCATTCTCAAGATGTACAGAAATGCAAAAGAACCATGGAAAATTATCTCCCAGTAACGGAATTTAATCTGAGCATTGCCAAGTGGTAGCATCTGTAGGCCCCTGCGGGAGGGCATGGCAACCCACTCCAGTATTCTTGCCTGGAGAATTCTACGGACGCGGGAGCCTGGCGGACTATGGTCCATGGAGTTGCAAAGAGTCGGACGTGACTAAAGCGATTGAGTACACACA